GGTTCTTTTTTTTTTTTTTTTTTTTTTTTAATTTGGACCATTTCTCGATTTCTGCGTGTCATCCTTGCGCAGGGGCCATGCTAATCTTCTCTGTATCGTTCCAATTTTAACGGATGTCCCGGAGGACACAGCAGAGAGGTTCTGGTGCAAATCACGAACCCTTTTTTAGCCTACGTTCCTGAATCACTAAGGTCTAAACGAACCACTGGCAGGCCCTGTAGTGGATATTGTGGGGGCTATAGGAACCTATGTAGGGCTATAGGAGCCTATATAGGGCTATAGGAGCCTATATAGGGCTATAGGAGCCTATGTAGGGCTAAACTTGTATCGGGCTATAGGAGCCTATGTAGGGCTATAGGGACCACTTGCAGTGGGCTAAAGGAACCTGTATAGGGTTATAGAACAGTGCCCACTGCATTCCTGTCACTTGTGGTTAGACTACCAGTACCTTTCCCAGCTTGAAAAACAAATATGCAGCTCGTTTACAGCCCCGCAACTTTCGGGCCTCGGGGTACCAAACCAGAATGACTGGCGGCGCCAGCTAAAATGAGGTCCTAGCTGGTTGTTTTGTTTTTTGCCGTGCACGGAATTTTCAGGCTTGGCTTCAATAGTGGGCGAGGTACTGGTGGTTTAAAGCTGCCAGTGCATCTGAGGCTAAATTGTCGAACCAAAACGTGCAGCTTGCCGAGCCTGACATCTACAGTGCATGTGAATTGAAGTGGGTGGGAGGTGGTACCGGTACCGCCTATGTGTGTAACGGCCTCGAGGTATCATCATTGAGCTGAGCGACCGCAGGTAACTCAGAATTATTCATGGTTGATTTTTCTATTTTTTCCCCTTGCCTCACAGGCCTTTGTCTTTCCAAAGGGCGCCTTGAGGTATCATCATTTAGGAAAGCTGCCCTATGGGCCTCGCTCCACTATTTACCGAATGTGCAAAATGAAAATGAATCTTCCGGTAGAACATGGGAAGATACAGCGCAATATTATTTGTCTTTTGTGCATGTACGTGAGTAGTGGAGTGACGCCCTATTTGGATGCCATCTGGACTCGAACTCAGGGGGGTGTTTCAACATTTTATGGGTGTACCAAGTACTACCAAGTTACCAACTGATCTTTGCCACAGAGTCCGACCTGCTGATTTGGCAGGGCCGTTACTTTTTTTTTGGGGGGGGGGGTTGAATAACTTGAATTGTGTTCCTTTTTTTTTTCCCCTTCTTGCTTTTTCTTTTGAAAAGGTCACGGCCTTGATGCGTCGCTGTTTGAGAAAGTGAGCTATTTTCCAACAGACCGTCACATTCGAGGGAATCCAGGACTTCTGTTCATATTCGTCGCGGCAACAGAAGATTGCCGTGATCTCATCCTTTCTGCATCGCTGTAGGATCTCTTACCAAATAGAAAGAACTTTAAAAAAGGAAAAAAGATTTAAAAGAATCTTTACCAACATGCATGGCGCTGAGTCGGCTTTTCTCTTTTCTCTGAAGGCTGAATTGTGGGGGCAAGATTACCCTGAAAATGGCATGTTTGATCTGGCACTCAAAATTTTATCTACAAGATTTGGGGCTATTTGGCTTCAATGGGCATGTATGTTTCTCTTCGACTCTGTTTTTCCGGAATTTGGTGTGGTTGAGAATGGGTGTTTTGCAGTTCCTTGTTTTCACTTCCGTCCAAATATGTCTAGCCCCTAACATTTTGTCGTATCCATCAGGGGGGGTTGAATTCATGATCTGTTTTAACACCACCAGCTACGTTTTGGTGTCATCCACCCACAGGGCTGGGCTGGGTACTATTTTGCAGTTCTTCAGTTTGCTGGTACCCCCTTTTGTGAGTTGATGCCCTCTGGCGAAGAGAAGAGTGAAGCTAAGACAGTGAGGCGGTTGGCCAGTCGCGTCATCTGATTCAACTCATTGACATGCAGTGCATGCGATGCAAAGCCAACCTGCTGCTGATGGCGATTGCATTCCGCCGGCGAACGCATTTTTGGCCCTCGCCAGTTTTTGTATGTTTGACGCTGTTCGTAAAAAAAAATTGTTTCACTTTTTGTTTACGTATTGGCAGGCTCGCGATTCCATGCTGGATTGGATCACTGGGTCAAGGCTGGCGAGAACGGCGCTGGCAAAACTTCCAAGTCTCATCACACTGGCTACAGGGAAGAACCAGGGCTATATCATGGCATTGAGAGAAGACAACGGGGTTCCGGTAAAGGTTTACAGAGACCCCCGGGGCCGGACCAAGACAATTACGGGGGCCCGACAAGTTGATGGTTTTCTGTACGTGTCCAGCCTCACTAGCCCATTTCTCGCTAGATTGAAGCTCTGAGAAGCTAGAAAAATGTCAAGCATACACACCTATATCACATAAATGTTCCCCTCCCCTCCTCCCCCCTCCTCCTCCCCCTCTTAAACCACTACTACACGGCCCCAGCCTTGCAGTCCGAAACTTGGCCGCCACAAGAAAACGAGACCCAAACGTCAAATGCTGGGCCTGCCGTTTGGATCGGCGGTCCCATTTTCGTTTCATGCTTCCAGAATTCGCGTTGTCAGGCCCGCGGCCCAGGTGGTCATGTAGTGGTTGGTGCCTTTTTTTTTCTTTTTGTTTTTTGGTTGGTGCTTTAAGACTATAAGCTATATAGCTTAGTTGTCAGGCCCCCCGCAGGCCTGACAACTCAGCTGACGGGTTAAAGCAAAAGTACAGTTGAGAGGTGAATTTGAAGTTGAAGTTGAAGTTGAATTTGAATTTGAATTTGAATTTGAATTTGAGAGAAGAACATAAACGTTTTTGTGCAACATCTGACGGGTTACTCTTGTTGAGGACATATTAGCTGATCCTTGTGCAGACCCCCCCCCGCCAATCAGCAACTATCGCCCTTCTACCTCATCCATTTAGCTAGATGTCTATAGTGTTGAGCGCTGAGGTATTGTCTATACTACTCTATAGAGTCTATACTAGAGTCTTATAGTCACGTCGTGAAAATCGTTTTACTATTATCGATCCGTAGATTCCGTACCGTAGTGTCAAATTGTCGATGTCTGTCGATTTTTCGAATGGATTTCAATCCAAGATTCCAAGTGCTTCGATCGTGTTGGTAGATCACTGTCCAATATCTCTGCGACTCTTCGTGCCACGATCATCAAAACACCAATCCTAGTTTTCGACATTCGCTCCATGAACCTTTTTATCTGGCTTCATGATGGTCTGCTGTCTTATTGTCTGCAGCCTTTCCATCAAAATTCCACGCTTACTTCCTAACACTTTTGCTACCTTAGAGTCTCGCTCCACTACTCTCCACGTGCGGGAAAAAAAAAACACAAGAAACATGGCAATATATCTTTCCTTGTTCTCTAGTGGAAGATTCATTTTCATCTTGTTTAGTAGTGGAGCGAGCCCTTGTTGTCAGCTAAAAGCACATCCTGATTTTCTGTCAGGACATTCAGTAGGCATGTCACTCTTTGAAAGGATTTCACGCTGCACGGATGCCGAGTCCCGGTCCCAGGGTCCCAATTGCACCCGGTCCCAGATGGTCCCAGTCCCACCTGGTCCCAGTCCCAGATGGTCCCAGCCCCAGATGGTCCCAGTCCCAGATGGTCCCAGTCCCAGATGGTCCCAGTAGGTCAAGTCCCAGGGTCGGTAGGGTCTTGTAGGGGTCCATAGGTCGACATGTCGCAGTCCGGTAGACCCGGGAACGGAAGCGTCGTAGGTCGGTAGAAGTCTGCAGGTACCAACAAGGAAAGTCAAGTCCCAAAGTCCAAATTTGCAGCAGCGTCCCAAGGAAGTTCGGAGACTTCCGGAACGCCGGAACATGCAGCGGACAGGCCGCGGGCGACCGGTACCAGTCCGAAGGAGGCTAACAACAAGTCAAACGTCCTATTTTATAGCTGCTACAGTGGCAGCACTCTTCAGTTGTTCATTCGCGAGTTGCAAAATGCTTGTGCTGCAGTATGACTTCGACGGTGTGCGGCACTGTGCACCAGAGGGTGGAAGACCAGCTCTGGAGTAGACCATAACCAGGGTAGAAGGGACAAGAAGGTGGCCATAGCCGCGGAGGTCCGAGGTGGACTAACGTGGTTGTATTCAGGGTTGATCCATAGAGGTAGAAGCTGTCTCTTATACACATCTAGATGTGTATAAGAGACAGCAGTAGGAACGGGGGGCCCTCCCCCAACCGGAACCGTCCCTACCCTGCCACTAACACCCCCAGCACCCTTTTCAAACATTTTGGGCGGAAGGTTAACGTTTGCAGAAAGCCAGGTACATTGTTGTCAATGTCTGCTGAAGCCTGCGCTTGCCGAAACCCCACCACTAACACCCTCACCATAACCCCCTCAACCCCTGAAATACCGCCCCCGCCCACACACACACACACCCCAAACGAAACTTCTCTGCAAAGTTTTCTTTGCGGATTCGGGGAGATCTCGGCGAGCGCAGTCCAACCATGTTTTCAAGAAACAGAAAAAAAGAAAACATTTGACCCACTTTTGGGCCCAACCGGAATTCTGGTTGGACCACCGGGGCTCCAACCGGCCCGGTCGGATCCGGCCCAGTCCAACCAGCCGGTTACCGGCGCAGCGCCGCAGCCCTGGTGCATACCTGAAACTCGCAAATTTTGTTGTACACTACAATTCAGAAATTTTATGTGTTTCTGCAGGGAGTGTTTGCAGTAAATGAAGATGGGCATGCACGATTGCTTGTGGACACTGTCAGTGGCAAAAAAATGAAGTAAGGCTTTTCTGTCGTGCATAATGCTACAACTTGTGCCCCTCCACATTGCTCATTAAATATCCCGTTGTTATCTTGCCTGTCCTTGCATTTGCCTCTTTTAGTGCTCGTTTTTTGTCCCTTTTTCTTTTCGTGTTTTAAACAGCAATCAAAAATTTCAATGTTTTCATTATAAGGTGGAAACCGGGTCCAGCACCCCTTGCAAAAGATACACACTCCACTGTTCTCTCCATTATGGTCGAGAGATCTGGAGACTGTGGCATTGGCTACTTCTCAACGGGAAGGATTTACCACTCCTCTACCCCTGTATTCTCTGAACAACTGCCGGGCCTGTTTTTCGAACGTGTTTCCCTTTTACCTACCGTCTTCTCCAGAGTAGAACGCCCAGACATTTTAGCTGTATATGGGGCAAGTTTCAGTCCAGATGCGGGGATAATGACCGGGCGTTCTATTCGGGTGAAGACGGTAGTCTCTAAAATGCTCTTCTCAGTCTTGCTTGACTGCCTGATATCCGGATTGCCTCCTGGTGCCCCTACTAGTACCACCTGCTTTTTTCTTCTTGCCGAAGTGGAGATCATCCCTCCCTTACCCAGCCCTTACCCTTACCCTTACGGATCCTTACCCTACCCTCATCCTACCCATGCCCCTACCTTACGATTACCCTTACTCTTACCCTTAACCTTACCCTTACCCTTGCCCTTACCTTTACCCTTACCCTTGCCCTTACTCTTACCCTTATCCTTACCCTTGCCCTTATCCCTCCCTCACCCCTACCCTTACCCTTACCCTTATTCTTACCCTTACTCTTACCCTTACCCTTACCCCTATCCCTACCCTTATCCCTACCCTTATCCCTACCCTTGCCCTTACCTCTTACCCTTACTCTTACCCTTACCCTTACCCCTATCCCTACCCTTATCCCTACCCTTATCCCTACCCTTACCCTTACCCTTACCCTTACCCTTACTGTTACCCTTACTGTTACCCTTACTCTTACTCTTACCCTTACCCTTACCCGTACCCTTACTCTTACCCTACCCTCATCCTACTGTTACCCTACCTGTACCCTATCTCCACTTCCGTGAGGCCCAGATTGCCGGGTCGCATATCAGGCTAAAGAGCCAGTTGTGGAATGATGTGTACGCATCCTGTTGTGCAAAGCTTATCAGTCTACACTTTGGATTGTCATCGAAAGCTGATTTGTAATCTCAGTCCAAATTTTCCTAACCATCTCCCTTATGCAGACTGCACTGGGACAGGTCAGGAAGCACATATTGATCACTGTAAACTTTTTGCTGAACCAGCATGCCTACTCTCGTTCTTCAGTACCTTCATTCGCCTCTGATTTAACCAGTCACTAACCGAGACTACTTGGTTGGTTAGCAGCCAAAGGAGTTTTTGCTACTTTGGCTGGTTTGGTATTGACTACCTTCGTACCTTCTTTCGCCTCCAATTTAATCAGCCACTCACCACGACTACTTGGTCGGTCAGCAGCCAAAGGAGACTAGCTACATTTTGGTTGGCGTTGTACGCAATACCTTTGTGCACTCTATCCACTCTTCCTGTCCAGGCCCTTCCTGTTCGGTGTTGAGCGGTCTCTCCCATCGTTTTTTATTTACTGGGACATAGTTGTCCTGCAGTATGAACGTAAACCCAGAAGCAGGAAAATTGGACTCACTCCTGCTGCAAAAAATCCGGGTAACCATCCATTAACCGTGGTTAATCGTCAACCCAGACAAGAGCATCTCAGAGCTGAATTCAACCCAGCCGGTGGTTGTGGACTCAGAATTTCCCAGAAGAGCATTATCTTTGGGCCTTTTTTTTGGCCGATTTTTTGGCCCGATTATACCGTCAGATTCGGTTATGGCCTAGGCCTCAAGACCGAAGACCCAGACCCAGTAATTGCTAAGAGATGGAGAAGCATCCCAGATTTGAACTCAGGATGTCCTGATCGATATTGAGCGGGCAAAAGGTCGTTGCCCACAAAACGAACAACAATTGAAACCGGATGCAATGCAGGCTGTCCTCTTCTCCCTCTCTGCCTATGGTTTACCAGGCAGCTCTGTTTGACGATATGTCCTCTTCTCCCTCTCTGCCTATGGTTTAGCAGTTCTGTTTGACGATATATATCGTCAAACAGAGCTGCCTGGTAAACCGTAGACAGAGAGGGAGAGGAGGACAACAAACGAGGGGATACCAACGTCTTGATGCCGAACAAGGCCATCTGCTGTATATAGATATGTAATATGAGAATTCTTTTTTTGCAGACAAGAGTGTTTTGTCCTTGGTGGTCTTGTCCCGTCGTTTGGCCTGTGTAGGACTGGGGCGGTGCTTGCATATGGGACTTGTCATCTAGGATCCGTTTTGTGCTGTTGCTTATTGCCCCCTGTTTTGTTGTATTTGGCTGTTCCCTTCCTCTCTTCTTTGCCTCTTTGCCCTTTGGCTGTGTGTAAGTGGGTCGATATGCCACACGGGGGTGGGGGCAGCCGCCGCTCAACCTACATCCACGTGGGCGGCCTTGTACGCAAGAGGTTCTGAACAGGGGGAGTTGTAAGGAAGAAGATAAAAAATGAATTGATATCTTTTTTGTTTCCTTTTGTTTTTTTTTCGCTTTTGCGCTCTGATTTTCATGTGACGATATGTGCTCAACCACCATGCACTATGGAATCACCATTGGGGTTATACCCACACTGATACCCTGCCTTACCTATACTATGTGTTGAAAGCCCACAAGTTTCCTCCAGCTCTTCGCAGCATTCTTGGAGTCACAACACAGAATACTTGTGCTGTCCCCCCACGCACTCGCTCTCGTCCTTCAATTCGCACCATTCATGAACGRCCTCCTCACAAACCCTTGGCTAGCACAACGGCTACTTCGTCCKSTCTCAGCACTGCTTTGCAAGGCGTGATCTCTACTCTTCGTGAGAAAGACACTGAGCTCTATCAACAGGAAGGTGTTCGACGGTGCTGGATCGTCCAGAGTGCCAATGAGGTGGCGATTGACCTGAAAAACAATGTGTCCTCTCTACGTGGCCTTTCTCCTCGCACGGTTGATTTCACCACAATGTACACCAACCTTCCTCATGACCGCATTCTGAATAATGTGGCAAAGGCTGTTGATGAAGCTCATGCTTATGCCCTTCAGCATACCCGCATGCATTCATGCTGCAGAGCCTTGAACATGTTTATTCGCGGGCCTTGCTCATGCCAATGGACAACCGATTCAGGACCAGACAACCTTTCCGTTTCTCAGATTCTCCAACATCTTCGCTTTGTTGTAGAAAACACTTTTCTGTACACTAGAGATGGTACTCTTCGAAAGCAAATCATTGGTATTCCAATGGGAATAAATGCTGGCCCAGAAATTTCCAATCTAACGCTCTATTGGGATGAAGCACGCTTTATTGATGACATTTGTCAACATGATCCCCAAGCTGCTCAGCGATACGCCTTCACTTACCGCCTCATTGATGATGTTCTTTCATGGGGGCAATTACCTCCTCCTTCAGAGCACTATGGGCTCTAGTGGAAGGAAACTACGGCTACAAATGGCTCGTGTACCTTTTTAGGTATGCATCTACGGGTACGTTCTGATGGTTTGCTTCGCATGAGTGTGTTTGATAAAGCGGCTGCTTGGGATTTCCTTGTTATTCGCTATCCAAGTGCTACCTCCAACATCCCTTCCCATCAACCGGCCGGTGTGTTCACTGGGCAATTGACCAGATTTGAACGCATCTGCAATAATTGGCAGGACTTCCGAACTGCAGCGACAACACTCACTCGTCGCATGCTTTCTCGTGGYCATTCCCCACCAACCCTYGCTAAAGRATGGACCTGCTACACACRCTCCCGCCAAYGTCGCTATCCTACACACGTCACCCGTCTCTCTTAGTGGTTCCGACGCATGCTGCGATGGTCCTTGCATCACCCACTTTCTTCTTTATCCCCACATCGCTCTCGTCCTGTCACTGCTTGTTCATATGCTGCTAATGCAGTTCCCACTGTTGCGGTTCCCACCGCCGCCGCTTCCACCGTTGTGGTCTCTATTGCTGCAGTTTCTACTGCTGCCGTTTCAACTCCGGGTTTTACTCCGGCAGTTTCTGCTACGGAAGTTGCCTCCGCTGCGGTCCCTGCTACGGAAGTTGCCTCTGCTGTGGTTCCTGCTACAACAGTTGTCTCTGCTGCGGTTCCACTTTTTACCACTGCGGTTCCTGCTACAACAGCTGTCTCTGCTGCGGTCCCACTTTTTACCACTTCCTCTGCTTCTGTAGCTCGAATTTCTCAGGCTATAGTTTTTACTGGTATAGCTTCCTCTACCCCAGCCCGACACTCGCGTCCTATGTTCCGACATC